GAATGGTCCGATTTAACTTTTTTTTTCTCCAATCGATACGTCTTCATGTAACTTAGACCGGATTAGATTTTGGTTGATATTGGTCTCATGGTTTTCGAGATATTCCAGAACGAAAAATTCAAAATAGAAAAAAATAACCAAAAATTTCTCATTCTCATAAGATGCTCATAACGAACGATTATAATGAAGAAAAGCTCTTCATTTTCTCCAATTTTTTTCATATATTTTTCACCATGATATTTTTTCCGTTTTTTTCTAATTTTTTATTTATTTTATCAACTTCCCGATCTATCGGGTAGTTATTGTAATCACCCTGAAAATGAATCATTAGTTTTTTGCGATTTATCCACGTTTCTCAGTGTCTAAAACACTTCTAAACAACGTGTATGTGTGTGTGTGTGTGTGTATGTGTGTATGTAGGTCTGTATGCCACGGAATTTTCGTTAACGATTTCTCCCGAATGACTCGCGCGATCAAGATGATGGAGGACGCAATCGAAAGGTCTTCATGTAACTTAGACCTGATTAGATTTTGGAGTGATTCGCTCCAGTAGTTCTTCCAAATTTTCCTGGAGAAATGTTTGAACATGGCAACGATAAGTATTTCTCCTGTATAAATGACGTGATTGGCATTGTCAACATCAGGATATCACTAGAGTCAATCACTCCAGTGATTTATCTAGGATTTTCTGAAACTCCAGTGATTTTTCCAGTGGTTTTTCCAAAATTCCCTGGAGAAAAGTTTGAAAATCGCTCAGACAAGGGTTTCTCATGAATAAATAAACAGAGTATTGAGAGTTGAAAAGGATTCTTTTAGTCAAAATGGGAGGAATAATAATATCGGGAAGTTGTTGGTGCGACCCGTCCGACGGGTCAGACCCACATGAATACATCTGCTACCAACCCACCCGCAATGGGAGCGAGCGCAGCGAGCGACCAACCGCCCAATCCACTAGTTTTTTTCCTAATGAAGGCCGTTTCCGCCCTACTATTCAAGATTGTACAGTGATTTTTGCTTTGAAATTGATGGGATATGTTCGAAATTCACGAGCACTTAATTATTTACCCATGTGTAAGTCGAAATCATCAATTGTCATTGGTGCATTAACGAAAGTCGCGTTGTTTGCAATATGAAAGCCGTTTTCCCCATACTATTCAATGTTGTACACTGATTTTTGCTTTGAAATTGAGTGAATATAATCAGAATTCACGAGTACCTAATTATCCACCCATATGTAAATCGAAATCATTAAATGTTATTAGTGCATTAACGGAAATCGCATTTTTTGCTCCCTTAAAGCTGTTCCCCACCTAGTATTCAATGTTGTACACTGTTTTTTGCTTTGAAATTGATCGGATATTTTCGGAATTCATGAGCACCTAATTATCCACTCATAATATTTTTCGTTATAAGTCATCAAGTATTACAACCGTTAGTCTCACAATTCTGACAATTCATCGAATCCAATCATTTGGTTTCATTCGAAAAATTCAATCCGCGCACAATAAACGTAAAAATACATTCCATCCGATCCCGTTAAACCGGCAGAATTCATGAGCACCTAATTATCCACTCATATGCAAGACGAAATCATTAACCATCATTAGTGCATTGACGGAAATCGCGTTTTTTGCCGGATAAAAGCCGTTTCCCCCCTAGTATTCAATGTTGTAAAGTGATTTTTGTTTCGACATTGATCGGATCTATTCGGAATTCACGAGCACCTACATATCCACCCATATGCAAATCGAAATCATCAACCGTCATCAGTGACGATGAATTTCCCGAAAAAATGCAATCAACAATGAAAAATCCGCAAAAGTATGGGGATGGCAAGATTGGTAAAAGTGAAATCTTGCCAACTTGAACGCAATACCTAGATATCCTTAATCGAAATCCCGTAACTTGAATTTTTATTAGCCCTGGAATAATCAATGCAGATCAATACTCAAGCATAATTTATCCCGGCAATGCTGAATGAGAGCACCTGTCATTCATCACACGACAGAGTGTCATTTGAGCCACTCAGCTCCGGTAATGCGATAACTCACAGCCGGAAGTTTATTCATAATTAATAATTTTAAATTGTACCACTCGATGCACTCGACTATCAAGCAGGCATTTCACGTCATGTTGCGAGCGTCATATGCAAACTGAACAATCCGTGTCAGAAGCTTTCATTTTCCCCGTAAAAAAAAATTGAAAATTCACTCAATTCGGTGAATTAATTCACAAATATTTCAACCATTTCAATAAATTAAAAGTTCATTATGATATAGCAAGTCCGTCGAATCTCGCGATTTTATACCTTTCCCACATGTATCGAGACGCAGTGACGCCCGCTCTATATAAATCATTACCAAAACAATCATAAAAACCAGAATTGGAATGAAAATCTGGTCAGCTGATCCGCATGGAATCATTTCCTCGGTATGACGATTCAAAAATCATGGGAAAAATCAAACAAATTGTCTCTATGAAAATAACTGAAACACAATTGTTTGCGTTGAATCGTCATACCGACGAGTAACATAATAAATAATAAACGTAGCCCGATATGTGGCGCCCTTTATGCTCGAGCCTTTTTCATAAATTCGTAAATTCGATAAAACACAGTTGAAAAATATTACTGCAGAAACGAACTCGAACGTCAATAAAACATTGGCCATTCAATGTACTGTGAAAATACAATTACATATTCATAATTATGGATATCAATGATGTAATATATTCCGGAAATGATGAAACAATTTAACAGAATGATTTATTTTTATGAGAACCTAAATTTTATCTAAATTATTTATTTGGAGCAAATTCAGCGGCTGATATCTGGAAAACTAATGAGTTTAGAAGAAATTGTCATAAAACATTTTTTGTAGAGAATTTATGTTCTATGAAAAATATTCTTATTACTCCGCAAATATCTCGGAAACATAAAGATTTATCAGATAATATCAAAAAACATTTTTTGTAGTCAATTGCGGCCTCCCGACAAAGTTTTATAATAATTTCCTCTAAAAAGGATAATTTCTGAGTTATTTCCAAAATAGTCTGCCAAACCTTTTACTTCATCTCTATTTTCACCATTTATTAGTTACGTGGTGTCGATTATTTAAAAAATATCTCAGAAATTGATGGGTTTAACGGAGAGGTGAAGGCCTATACAATACGTTCTCTAGCGCTCTTCTCTGAACTCGACAGTGAGAAATTTGTAAAATCATTTGTATTATTTTTTGTTCTTTGTTTTTCAAAATTGTTACTTTATTTCTAATGAGTATTTCGCACATATCTCGGGAAGTACTACGTTTAAAGAATTATGTTGATGAAATATTTTTGTGAAGCATTCCTTTTCTTGCAAAAAAGGTTTTATGATATTTTTCTCTAAGCCCAATACTTTTCGAGATGTTCGCAATTTTTTTATTAAAAAGGGTCCTTTATAATTTCCTTCTAAAACTCCTTCCAAGTCAAATGCAATAGCGAAACGGTAAACCGGTTCAAGTCCACTTAGCTCTTTGCTGAGTTTTGGAGGAATATCCCCGAATCTAAGAGAAATTGCGGAATTTTTATTATAACTTTTTTTATAGCTCTTAATTCGCTCTACAAAAAAGGTTATTACAAAATATTTGCTATCTCCCTTGCGTTTCGAGACATTCATTAAAAACTGACCAATAGTCTAAATCGACTTACACCGTTTTACCGCTTTGCTACTGAGTTTCTTCTAATGTTCTCAGAATATTCATAAAATAATATGCAAATTTATTTGTATGGAGACTTAACCAATACAAAAAATCTTCAACCATCATTCAACTAATTAATTTCATCATTTCCTCTATAACAGACGTCCAACAGCGCATCGCACGAGCTTATTAACGAGACGACGCTCACGAGCCATTCCTAAAAACTCAATACAATAAATGAAATCATCAAATAAATGAATAATTATCTCAGCAATCGTTAATATAAATTCCACATCATTAGTCAATTAAATTAATTTCATTCGTTATTATCATTTTTGTAATCGTCAATCGGCACCTTGAAACCGTCATAGGTCCAGGAGCCTAACTTCAAAACACAGGTCTGTACGTCGTAGGGAAAGAACTCAACGTCGATGGAGCAGGAGGATTTATAAACAGCTGGTGGTTGCCATACGACCAGTCCCGAATGGAAGACTATTGCCTTGGTCATCAGGGTCACCTCGTAGTTACCGTCGGCGCTGGAATCACCGAAGAAACAACCCCAAACCTTCATCTAGAGTACATTCCTGAAAGTAATCGATGCAAGCATACCTGCCGATTTCCTATCGATATTCGATATTTTAATGTTTCTTCATTAATTTCTGTTTATTGCTCGGACAGGCAGATATACTCTCTGCGCTAGGTCCCAGTGCTTGATCATTTTTCGAGACATTTCAGAATTTATAGACAAAACATTCTGTTGACATTGAACGATGCGGTGGAGAAGTGTCTCTGGAAGTGGGGAGATGAGGTGAGTTTCATTTTCTCATAGGCAGAAAATTTCTTCTGTGCTTTTTATAATTGATTCCGGGGACAATTGTTGAAGCCCATTATTCAATTTTGGGAATAAATGGAATTTAATTGTGCTGTCGGGGAATGGTTCCGGTATCATTCCAAAATTTTTCCTATTCTTCATACTACACCCAGAAAAATGTTTTTTTTTTTAAATCAAATAAAAATCTTTATTACAATTTAATAAAGTTGTTTACTTGTTGCAAGAAGAGGATTTACTTATATTGAACAATTTATTAATTTGAAATAAATGATTCTTTAAAATCAAACGAAAAAAATTTTTTTCAAATAAATAGTTTTCTTATTTTATCATCAAATGAAGATTTATTAATAGTAAAAAAAAATTCATTGAATGTAAACAAAACTTCGAATAAATTTATTTATTTGATTCAAATAAACTTTATTTTAACCAAATAACTCATTTCTGAGGGTGTAGACCCTACGCGAGGGGTTATTCACTGGTGAAACGACTTTGTCACTCTGGGATGAAATCATGTGAAATCAGCTCTGAAATCACGTAAATTCTAATGAAAACAGTGAAATCACCAAGCCATCACCAAATCGTTGACATGAGAAATTTTATTTTGATACGTCTAGAAAAAAAAACTTATCATTCACTCAACCCGTTCAATACGGACAGAGGTCCTCTCTCTACGACAGTATGGACAGAAAAACGAAACACAACTCTGTCGAATTCAGCACTTCGCAAAATACGTCGATATTTCTCGAGAATCTCCCAACTCGCCGTTGAATGTATTCAGTATTGTAGTTCAGAAATAAAAAATTGGAAAACAAATTTAGATTCTTACCTGATTTTTGCAAATAAATTTTTTATGATAGGACTTAAGCGAGTGTAGAGTTTAAATTCTGAAATTATTCTCAAAATTTCTTTATGTATTTGAATACTTTTTTATTGAAAAAAATTGAGGTGATATAATAATTCAAATTCAGAGTTCATTGATGGGAATGGGCATGGTACGTGCGTAAGTTTTTCGAGGAAAAAATCATCACTCGTAGTTTTTGAATTCGTGATACTAACATTTGTTCGCCTTCTTTAATGCCACCAAAAAGCATCAAAAAATTTCTAATTTTTCACGCCAAGTCAATTTCTTCACCTATTGTTGCTGTTTAACCCTTAGTACCTCATGACTCTCAATGTTTCTACCTATCACTCCCCTTCAATCCCTCTCACTCCCCCTCGTAAAGTGAGGTCTCCTTTGCAACTTGTTCGCAAATCACAAAGTCTTATTTTATCACCTAGTCCAATTTCGCTCAGTTGCCCTGAGGCAATTGCGCAGATGGATGACGTCACGCAAATGATTGACCAATTAGGATTGAGGATCACTGTTCTGGCACTTATAATACTTTTGGATATGAAACAACTTCACTTATTAGAGAAAATTCACTGTTATTCTATTACACGGGGAGAAAAGTTCTATAAAAATTACCTCGAAAATCGTGACAAATTTTACTATACGAATGGTAATCGTGGAGCGAAATGTAATTTAGCCGAAAAATACTGGTTTTTCGTGGATATCTTACGATTTTTCCGCTAAAAAAATACATCTATGCATGCGAAAATTATCCTCCTGTTTAGTAAAATTTCTCACTCGGGCAGGGGATTGTTTGTTTCGTACCCGTCTGAAGGTCATGGGGACGGATGGCAGTGAATTTTTACCAAACGGGTTCGGTAAAAATCATTCACCGTTCCAGAAAAATTACACGAAAAATTGGGACAATTTTTGATGGGATGCAGGGAAAATTTGACAGTTACAAATCACCCTCACGTTTAGTAAATTTTCCCGGCCAACGAAGTAAATTTCACTACTAATCTCGCACTTTTTCTACTATTTAAGGTGAAAAAGTATTAAAAAACGAGGTTGCTCCACGATTACTTGACTTGTTTGGTAATTTTTCTCCAACTGCGCGGCGCCGCGATGCGAATAACCACGTCAGGTAGTCTGACGCGAATAACAAAGGGTTAATTCCTCTAAAAAAGTTTCAGAGCCTGTTTTTCATGTATACACTGAGAAAAAAATATAATTCTGCCAATCAAATTTGCTTCAGACAAACAAATGCCCGTAGATTCCATACAAAATGTCACTAGAACTTGTTGTCTGAAACAAATTTGATTGGCAGAATTATATTTTTTTCTGAGTGTATGCACGGAAACGTTTTGCGCTGAAATAAACTTGTACTTATGAGGTAAAATGGATTCATAACCATGGTCTTTCATCGCAAATATCCCCGGCTATTCATTGAAAGTGGTCTGAAACTCTCCAGATTCTCCATCACCTCCAGGATCCTCTTCATTACATCGTTTTTTATGTTCGTTTTTATAATTTATTTTCATGAGATAATGGTCGTTTTTCAAGCACTGGAATAAAATCCTCTTGAACCTATAGAATATTTTCTCCCGGAGGTTCGACGACCGCGCAAAATCATTTCCCCTCAGGGAGTAAGGACCCCTCAACCACAACAAAGGTCTTAACCTAAAAATAACAATTCTCTACCATGCGAATTTACCTTGAAGCCGTCGTACGTCCAAGAGCCAAACTTGAGTACGCAGGTCTGTTCGTCGAACGGGAAGTACTCGACGTCGATTTCACAGGAGGATTTATAAATTGCCGGTGGCTTCCACTCGACCAAGCCCTGGTGGTAGATGGTGGCTTTCGTAGCCAAGGTCACCTCGAAGTTTCCGTCCGCGCTGCGAGCGAGCACATTAGTGGTTCTGGGCGCTGCGGCGGTTCGAGCTTACTTTGTACTTACGATTCAATAACAAAGCCCACTATTTTTTTGTTTTTTTTTTGTTCAATCATTTACTCAGTTCATTCATTGGTCATTTCGATCACCGTTTAGTGGAAGAAAAATTGAGAGAGAGTTGAGCGATGGGTTGTATAAGATTATTGCAAAAATATTGAAAAAAAAACTAATGGGTTTGGAGAGCAATATTGACAGAGAAATGAAGCGTTGGAACATCAATTACATAATATTGTTTTGCTAAATATCTCGGAGACGAATAGGTTTTGAAGGAGTTGTCAAATGAACGTCGTTAAAGAGGAGTCAGAGACTTTACATGTAAAAGAAACTGTTGAAATAGGAAGAAAACTTTGCGTCATGAATTCTTGACTAAAGTAGAAAAGATATGGAAGATGGGTTGAGAAATTAATTATTTTTATAGGAACCGTATAGAGCGAGTTTAACGTACTCTGCAGAGGAAAATAGTGCATTTCGTCATTAGACCGAGAAAAAATTTTCTGGCGAATATGAGTTTGCAATCATATGATCTAGAAGTTTCGATGCGTGCGTCAAATTTCACATTCCGCACAAGTCATGAAATAGTATATTTATATGATACGTGCGTGTAACCGCATGGGTTTCAGTTGACTATAGTCAACTGGAAAGTAGCGGGTTTCAAGCGTCTACACACACTCAACAGTTGAATGTGGGTAGGCGCTTGAAACCCACTACTTTCCAGTTGACTATAGTCAACTGAAACCCGAAATAACGCACGACGCGCATGCGCATCACCTATTAAAAGAGAATAACAAGGAAGGAAATCTAACCTCCGAATAGTGAATACATGGAATGACTGAAAAATGAAAAGGTGATTTTCGAAGCAGATAAAATGAGCCAAAAT